TGCTGCTATGATCAATCAGGAGGGGTCGATTTAGCAGGTCTACTGAAGACCTACTAAATCGAACACAGAGCACTCTCTGGGTGACTTCCGTACTTCACCAGAACAAGAGGAGTAAGGTAAATTGACAGGAAAGTGTTGATGCAGCGCAGTGTAGACACCACAGTAAGTCGACCTAAGCTATGTCAACTCCAGCTGCATTATTCACATAGCTGGAGTAGCATAACTTAGATCGACTTACCCCAGTAGTGTAGACAAGGCCTGAGTAAGCACAGGATGCCTAATGATTTAAAGGGATAGGACATCACAATAACAGAGATATAATGTTAAAACTTCTCACTCTTAGTCAAACTATGCCCTTTACCAGGATCTTTAAGCACAGAAATGTTCGTTAAGTCTATCTATCCCAACTTGACTTTGGAAAGATAGCATTCTCCATGCCACTACCATTTTGTTGTTAGATCCTTTATACTCATATGTTCTACTTTTTGGAGCTTGTTGGCAATCTGAGATCAAATTTTAATACTATATTGGTATTTGCTATTGTTTTGGATGATTACTCTCTTTCTTACTTTCTTTCTTTCAATTATATACTTCTCTCTCTCTATTTTACCTATATACACGTAGAATTGAATACAGCTATATGACTGCTATTTATTATACTTACATGTATATTCTATACTTTTAACAGTATATCTGGCATGACTTATTATTTGTCAGGAAGCTAGTAGAGTTTCTTTGAGTCGGTAACTGATAGCTTATATGTTTCCATTTTGAAAAAAGAAAACCTTTTAGTTTTAATAAAAAGTGAAAGGAAAAAGCCAGCACAGTGATAGGAGAAGTACTAATGAAAGCCGTAACCATGCGAATGTGATCAAATAAAAAAGCTATTTTTAAAGAAACTTTTGGCAGTTCTAAGTCAAGACTTGTGACATGTAACCTTTTAAACTTTTTATTGAAAAAAAAAATCTAAAAGCAAGAACAGAATCATTACTAGACTAACACCTCTAAAGGTTTTGGGACAAAAAGGAAAGGATCATGAAGCTTAAAATAAAAATGTGCTAAAAAAACCATGACAATCAAGACAAGAGCCCCTAAAATTGGCAATAAAAAGTTTTATATCTCTTTTAATAAAAAAATGTAAATTAAAAGAGGTCCTGGACAAAACACTACAGAAAGCTGACTACACTAATGACTATGAAAAGTCTGGAGCAATGAGAAGTTTCAGAAAACATAAAATAAAACTGCAATGATAACACTTTCTCAGGTACATTCCTTTTATTTTAGATTTATTTTAAGTAAGAAACATTTAATATATTTTAATAGTGATTACTGGTGGAATTTTCAGAAGTGCCTAATAAAATCAGATGCCTGATTCTTATGGAAAGTAAATGGTATTTCAGTTTCTAACTTTCCTAGGTGCTTTAGAAACTCTCACTCCAAGTTTACATGGTTAGAATGTCTGAAGCAGTCAATAGCTTACAAGTATTTTCAAATACTCTCTTCAAAGACATTTTCTTCTTTTCATCACTACTAGATTATCAATTCTTATCCTCCCCAAGTACAGTATATAAATTAGCAAGTCAGAAATTATATAATTATTATTTAGTGAATAGGAAGCATCTTGACAGGGCTTCTTGCAGAAAGCACATGACATGGCTGCTTTGAGACCTATACTAGTTACTTGTGAGTAAGGCTACATTTTAGTCACAGGTATTTTTAGTAAAAGTCATGGACAGGTCACAGGCAGTAAACAAAAATTCACGGCCCATGACCGTCTGTGACTTGTACTATATACCCCTAACTAAAACTTGGGCCGGGGGCTGCGGGTGCTGGGAGGTGGCCCAGGACTCCATGCGTACTGGTGTCACAGTAAAATTGCCCCATGGAAATATCCCAGTCACAGTAAAATTGCCCCCCATAGGGTCATATCGGTAAGCACCAGCATTGTATATTGCTAACGCCTATATATGCATATGCATGGGATAGGATTTTGGGAGGGGTTGAAGGTGTGAGCATGGAGCAAAAGATTCCTTTGGAGGTTGCGAGAGGCTGAAGGGGGAGGAAGGGAGAAAGGAATGGGTTAACTCGACAATCTAGCTAGGTCTGAAGATAAGAAGGTGACTCCAGGCACCCAAGGCCAATGCACACAAGCAGACTCTCTGATGCCAAGAAAGACGGGACCCTGGATTCCAACCCCAACCAGCCATGAGAAAGGAGAATTGAGCTGAACCGACCTGCAGGGTCTGTGAAAACTAGTGAGACTGCAAATGTCAGCAAGTGGAAAAACAACAGTCTTGCGTCCTGGTGTGTTTTGGGAAAGCTGAGGAAGCCATGGAAAGCCAGTTTGGACTGGTACAAAGAGCACGGGGGACAGAGGTCCCTGAACAAACACCCGCAGAAGAACCCAGGGCTTAAAAAATCCTCTCAAGACCCAAAGCAAGTCGGAGATCAACAGTAAACCCTGGACGGCCTGTGCACAGGACAGAACTCTTGTCCACCCTTCCCCCTCTTCTTCTTACGTTACACCCGGGCTTGGCCAGCCTCGAGTCGTGCGTGTGTGAGTATGAAAGCGGGTCAGGGCTCGGGCACTAACTCTTTCTTCTTTCCTTTGAGGGACGTGGGGAGAAACCAGCACTCACTGCTGTTATTTTTTTTAAGCTTTAAGCTTTAAAACTTAGTCACTTGGTGTGCTCCTTCATCTCATCCCTTAAATATCCTGCGGCCTCAGCCTGATCACCTGACACCCCAGGCAGATTGGTAACATAAATCTGTCCCACTGGGGGGTGGTCCAGGACCCCTGCGGGTGCTGGGGAGGGGGTGTTAGAAGGGCTGGCAGGCTCCCTTCCTCTGAGCAGCTCCCCGGAAGCAGCCTCTAGGGCAGGGAAAGCTAGGAGGGCTCTGCGTGCTGCCTCCACCATGAGCTCCAGCTCTGCAGCTCCCATTGGCCGGGAGCCTCCCTCCTTCTCCCCACCCTGAGGTAAGCACTGCCCCATAACCCAACCCTGAGCCTCTTCCCACACCCAAACTGCTGATGGCCCAGGGGCTGCCCAAGTGTTTGGGCAGCCCTTGAGCCAGCCACATTGGCCATTGCAAAAGTCACAGAGGTCACAGAAAATCATGGAATCCGTGACTTCTATGACATCCGTGACAGACACGCAGCCTTACTTGTGAGCTTCCAGTTAAATTTTAAGGTGTTCATTTTGATTAATAAATCCCTGACTGGCTTGGGATCAGCCTACCTGACAGATCACCTCTCCCCATAGCTACAATCAGCAGAAGCTCAGATATTAGATCCCTCTTGCTGTATTTGAGAGAGGTAGAGTTCTCTGTAAAGTGCCACAAACACAATGATACCCCTCCTGTCCCAGTCTCAAATAGTCTGGATTTGTTGACTGTTGTAATAGTTGGTTTTACTAATTTACCCTAATTTGAAGCTCAATTGTAAAAAGTGAATGAAAGGTAAAAAAAAAGTCAAAATAACCTATAACAACAAATGTTGATGGGGAAAGGTACAAAAAAGGGACAGAAAGGCTGAATTAAACTAAACAGAGGCCTACTGGTATAATTCAAAGATTGTGTTAAGATTATGCCTGGTAAACAAGACCAGTATACAACCAGAAATCGATGAACCAAAATTGGTGTATTGAAAATTAGGCCTAATTGGTGAACAAAATAAGGAAAGGATGGGCTATTCCGCCCATCTCTCCCCTTTTGGGGTCCTGAAAAAGAGGCTTTGAGGGGAAAGTTGGCAACCATAATGGCTGACTGAAAGATGAGAGAAAGGGAAGGAGTAAGCTCCACCATCATGGCTGTTACCCTCATTGTCTCCCGGGACCCTGGACCTTCTTCTTCATAATCCTGAGATATGTCCTGACCAGACAAGGCCAGAAAGAGGGACCCAGATGACATCACCATCTCTACCAGCTCAATCTCAAACACCACACCCTCACCCCCATGTGTCCTTTCCTTTGCAACCTTATTTCTTTTCTTTCCTCTCTCTCTCTCTCTCTCTCTCTCTCTTTCTTCCTTCTGTCTATTAAGAGTCTGGCTTAGTTGTCCAAGACTTGCTATGCTGCTGTTAGCCTGTGAACAGAAACAGGCAGCTAAACCAGTGCCCTAAAACAGCCCATACTGTTACAAGTTTATCAGGTCTTGGGGTGGCTGATAAGACTGAATGCGGTGACAGGTTGCAAATGAGAGTGAATGCCAGAGACAGAAACTGAATTTTCTCTTTGCTATTATTTTCTCTCCCCTTTCGTATGAGTAGGTCTTGTTTTGTCTTTTAGCAAACAGGCTTTAACAACAACAGCAACCAGCCCCTCTCAGTTACTCTTTTCCTCAAACAGATTTTACCATCTTTAACACCTTCTCAGAAACTGCCAGACAATCAGGCAAGTTTTTGTTTTGTTCTGTTTTTCCCCTTCTGGGATGTTGTTAAAATCTACTGTTTAGATTTTGAATGCTTTAACTGTTTTTCCTTCTTTTTTGTATCTTTCATAAAGGTCCAAAGTATCTTTAATGAGGTCGCTGTATACCAAACCCTAACCCTCGTTTAAAACTGTTTAAAATTGGACAGCAACTGGATTACGTTAACACCTTTGTTCATATATTTAATCTAAATTAATATAACATGACATTCAGGGCATGCTGAAGGGCCTATTTATTTCATTTGGCCTTCAAAGAGAGATATGGGGCTGAGATATAGGCCAAACTGTGGGGGGTGATAGTATTTGATTATGAGTTGCTGCTTGGTAGTGGAAATGAGCTTCTAAATCAAAATAAATAAAATAAAAGTTTTTAGGGCAGAAATGCAGTAATTATTTATTGATTCAATAAAAATTAAAAAATCCTACTATATCTTGTCTATTTGGTTCTTTACTTACATAAAGAGCTAAAATATCCTTTAAAATCCTCTTATTTCTCTTTTTATACCAGACTTTAAATCTTCACTTGATGTTTTTAATGTCCAGTTTATGTAGGGTAAATACTTAGTAACTTACCACATGATGCCATTTCATCTGTTTCATCACCACAGTCATCCTCCCTATCACACAACCATGATTTTGGAATACAACGTCCATTCCCACAAGAAAACTGATCAACTTGACATGTTCTTGCTGCAATGACAAAGGCACACAAAAATCTTAAAATCTTAAAAGCAAGAGATAGAGTACAATCTGCTAGATCATTCAGTCCATGGCTTTTCTTAGAACTAACTTAGCAGGTGGAGGTCTAAATGGTATTTGCTTTGCCCTTGACTGAGTGCTATCCCCATCTCCTTTCCTCTCAGTGGAATTGAAGATACCTGCAGGACTGTACCCTTATCATTACATTCAATCATTCATAATGGATTTCACAGTAGGTGGGAAATTTGTGAGGTTTCACAGAATTATGCAATTACAGGAAATTAAATGTTAAAACAATATTAATGTTGTAGTCAAAATCATGAAAAATCTGGAAATGCCAAAATAGGATTAAGGCTGGCATTCTCAAAGAAGGCAAAAGAAGTTAGGCATCCAAATCCAACTGAATTCCAGAGGAAGTTGGGTACTTAATTTCCCTAGTCTCCTTTGAAAATCCAAACCTAAATATTCAGAGCAGTGATTAGTACTTAAATAAAATTAATTCAGAATTAGATGATCCAGTTCATATTACCAATTAACCCTTCTCCCTATCAAATGTGCAGACAGTTGCTTGCTATATTTAATTAGTTCTGTATATTATGGTTTTCTTTCCACTTTAAGAATTAAATTGATGGTTTAATCTGGTTTGTAAAGAAATCATGTAATTGCTCACCTGACATCAGTCATCCACCAAGGTTTATAGACACATATTGACAATGAAGACAAAGGGAATAATAGATTTTCATTATAGTAAACCAGTTATTATTTTTACACACCACTGAAGTGTCTTTTGGGAACACTGGACCCAATTCATTTCCGGCATAATGCCATTAACCTTAGCGGAGTTATGGCAGGGATGAATTTGGCCTATGGGGTGTGTGTGTGTGTGTGTGTGTGTATAGATATATATATCTTGTAAATACAGGCTTCTTCCAGATGCACATAATATTACACTACTTCAGATGCTCTTTGTTGCTGAAGATTTAGCTAATGTAAAATGAAAAAAAATCCTTATGATTTTTTTTTCTTTTAGATTCAGTTCAAGTGACTATGATGGGCAAAGTGCTAAACACTTGATCTTTATTGCTTCAAGAACATTTGTACGCATTTTGATGTGTGCTTTAGGTTGTTGTCATGTTGAAAAATAAATCCTCTTCCAGGTTTCCTCTCTGATGGGATTATTTTGATGTTATTATTGCTTAACACATTGTCAGCTATGCCATCAATATAAAAAAATAGCTCACCAAAATCTTCTGGAATAAATACAGTCTTACACTGTGACAATGATGATCATAACACTCATCATCATCATGGTAAATCCCCAAAAAGATGTGGATTCCTTGTAAATCGTGTGCCATCTTGTACAGTCTCTGGCAGGATGCTTAAGGTAGTCTGATTATAAATTCAGTTTATATCCATCACTGGCAATGTTACTGTGCCACCAAAGCTTTTGGCACCCATGTGATTGCCAGCCACGTATCAGCATTCCTTGGTACACACACTTGAGAATTTTTTGGTCTGCCATCATTATAATACCAAAAAAGCTGAGAAAACAAACCAATGGTGATGGAGATAATTGCTGGATTTGGTTTTGAATGTCCTGGCTTCTGATCTTGTCTTGCCACTTCACTTGGAGCAGTTGATGGAGACGATTATTCATTATTAGTGAATAATAAATAAAGTAAAATAATGACAAATACTCAGCTGGTGTAAAAGAGCACAGCTCCTGCATTTAATGGAGCTAACCAATTTACACTAGCTGAGATGACCCTAATACTTCACACCTAATAAAGCACTATTCATCCACATATAATGCTTAACAGCAGGAGTCAGACTCTCCTTGTTTAGAGCTTCTCCATACTTTCTGCATATAGAAATCTTTCTATCAGAGTAGGCATGTTCAGCAGTGCTTCATAAAAACATACAACTTTGTTCCAAAACAGTTTACCTTTTCAAAATTATCTTGAGCAAATGCCCAGCTAAATTCATTGGTGTGGGGCTTTGGCAGAAGTAGAAGAGAATAAGACAAGATGGGTCCTCATGCCAGCTCTTGAGAAGAGGAATTTACCAGCTCCTTATTGGATGAGCGTCTATCCTCAGCTTGCGCTCTCTCTCTCTCTCTCTCTCTCACACACACACAAACACAGATCATGCCCCAATACACCATGGAAGGACTTATGCTGGTACTCCACAGTTCCACTGTGGGATTGTAGCTCAGAGCAACCCGCTTTTTCTTGAAACTGTTCCCTTCTGAAACCCCAGATTTCAGTCAATATCAATTGAACCAGCATTAACCCATGCCATGTCCCTATGGTGGGGCAGTCTCAAAGCCAGCTCGCATAGTGGTCAGGCAATGGCTCCTCAGTTCTTTTTAGTCTCTCTTTTCCAGAGGGGGACCCTGCTGAGTCATATATCGTGAGCCTCAGCCCCTCCTATGTGTTTCCTCTTCTCTCTTCAGGGCTCTGTCACAACAGTGGGGTGGAGGGAGGAAGATAGAGGGAACCAAGCCCTCCTGATCTGCATGGTCCCAACCCTGGATGTTGCAGTCTTCAGATGACCTGTTGGTCTACCCCAAGTTAAACTCCCCTCTGGGTCTTCTCCAACCAGGCTGCAGCCTCTCCCTTTGGGGCATGATCGAAGTCTTACTAGTAGGAGGTTAATTTCCCAGGGGCAAGGGGTGTTGTTCAGAGGCTCTTGTGGCTTCCCACCTCCAAAAGGAGGGGGGACTTGGATCACTTCTCCCAGAGCGGTCTTACCTGCAGAGCAGTCACTTTGCCCACAGGCTTCAACTTCACTTCCTCGTGCAGATTGTAGCACCTTCCCCTGGCCTGCCAGTGCCCTTTCAAACTGTCTCTTCACCTAAAGCCCTGCATGTGCTGAAGGGGGTACGCCTCCTTAGCCCAGTATTGCTCCTGGGTTTGCTCTGGGTTATTGGGTGTGTAAACTCCATCACAGTTTCCACAACAGCTGCAGCTGAACAGCTATAGGGGAACTCAGCACACTGCAACAAGTTCTTGCTGGAGCGACACTGCATGTTGGAGGAGGGTAGGAAAAGAGAACTAATCTGAGCTGCACAGAAGGACAGTCAACCTATGTATACAGGATGGCTTCAGCCTCCACAAATTCAGGGTTGCACCTCCCTCTACAATCCCTGGATCTGCAGAATTGGGACACTTTGTCCCTTTTACACTCAACGGCCCCTCAGATCCTTCCTCTACAACTAGGTGAGCTTTGCAACATTTGCATGGCCCCTGCAGTGAAGAGGCAATCTAGCCATGAACAGATTATCAAAGTACTGGACATAGTAATTAGAAAGTATATTTTATTTTCATATTACTGTCTATAAACCTTGAACAACAACAGCACTGATCCAGCTAATCAATAACATACAAATATCAGACAAGCAAAGACTGTATAACATTACACGTTGTAACTTTAAAACTTTTTTTTTAAATATACTTTAGTTTTAGGAGGCCTCTTGGTATATTTACTGACATGAAACTTTGTAAAAGGTTTCACAAAGGAATTTATCTGTTTCAAATGGAAACAACTCACCACCTATATGACTCCAACTATGTAATCGGCCCTTAAATTTTCATTACTGGTAACATACATAAATTATATACTAGTTACCAGTCAAGCAGGATCCAGTCCATCATTCCTATATAAACTACAGTTAACCCTCTATTTTTGCTCACAAAATATAGTTGTTTGTGTCATTGCCAATAGGTGAAGTGGACTGCAGAGAGAAGAACAAATAAGAATCTCATCCCACAAAGCCTGTTGAAATAAATAACCCTTACCCAACAGACCCTTGTATTCACGTAAACAGATCAAGACTTTTACAGGATCTGGCCTAAACTGCACTTGGGTATGAACAATAAAAAGCAATTAAAATGCATATTTCTCTGTACTATGGGGTGAAGACTCTAGTTCTCTAATTCCCATCCTTTTTACCTAGATTATTAAAATGCACATTATGATTTGTGTGACAGGCTTCCTTTAGAGTTTCAACTGAAACTGCTCTCTAAAATGTGCCAATTTGCACTCCCCAACTTAAAATCAATTAATGTATTAGAAACTCCACTAGATAAAAGCCATTGATTTCTTACTTTGCTACTATAAGTGAGCATTTTTTCCTCTTGTTCTTTGAAACAGCCAACATAAAGAATCAGAAAATAAATGAAATATAGTGTAGTGAAAGAGATTTTTAAACAAAATTTGAAAGGAAGGATGTTTTTGTAAAGCATCCACACAGTTTGGTTTTAGGACATTTTAAGTCAGATAATATGGATTCAGGGAACATCACTATGTGTGTATACATGCTGCCAATCTCTTTCTTTCACTCAGTACTTAAATAGAATAATAAGTTTACTGCCTATTTTTCAACATTTATCAGACTACTAATGACCTCTCTAGAATGGTCTACTGATCTGTACTAAAGACTGTATGTTTCTGTGCAAGAATGGACTGGTTTAGGACTCCTAGATTTATTGTAATGAGACAGATTATATGGAAATATAAATAGATGAGGTCAAACGGGACCTCCATATAAAACCCCATACATAAATAATATAACAAATACTAAACTATTTGCAGATGAATTCAGGGGAAACTGAGTAAAATTATATTTGTCAAGGTAAAAAGCAACAAGAACAAAATGCTTACTTGTCAGATGACTTACATCACAGTATGATAACAAACTACATTCCAACTGCCAAGAAAGATTTAGCAAGGGCAAGTTTGCGTCCAAGTAGTGCATTGACAGTCAACCCATATGGGTAGATTAAGTGCCAAATTACTTTGGAGAGCAAAGTAAAGCACAAGGATTAAGTAAAATATAATTTATATTCTAGCCCTAGTGGCATCAAAATCTGAATTCATTTAAAACTGCAATAATCAGATCATCGGCAGTAGGTTGGTTCAGCTCAGTTCAGAGTACAGGCATGAATTTTTATTGAAGTGGAATTTAGATAAAAGTTATTTAACCACATCCAAGTAAAGTTTTTACCTGCACAGGTTTCATTTGATTCATCTTCATTATTGCCACAATCATTAGCTCCATCACAAAGCCACCTCTTGGGGATGCAGCGGTTATTCTGGCACTTAAACTGATCATCAGGACAGCTATGATTGACTAGGAAAAAAATATTACTTTCTCCTAAGCATACCATCAGAAAGAAACATGATTATATTAAGTTTCACTCATTGAAGAACTAGAGATACAATTAATATGATTACCCCATAATTTATAATCTTCATAGCTCGGAACTGTATTGCAAACAGGTAAAGTTGAGTCCCAGTTAAACAGTTGCTGAAGTATTTCAGATATAATAATACAAAATCTGGACACTCTATTGAAATAAAAGGAGTTATACAAGTGTAAACAGGTATCAGTGAGAGAAGAATAAGGTCCATAAGATTGTATAGTCTTTATAGGAATGGATGGCTAAAGATTGTAGGTAAATACCCAGCTCCACTGAAGTCAATGATACAATTCCTAGTGACTTCAGCGGGGCCAGATTTCACCTTGCATTTTTCATAAACATTATGAATAAGAGCCTTAACTAGCATAACTCAGTATAACTCCATTGTAGCTATGACAATTTTCATCAGCTGAGGATCTGACTACCTAACTATAATGATATGTTAGCATTTTCATTAAAGGTTAAAGTGCTTTGAGATCTCAAATGAAAACTACAATCTAAATTCAAAGAATTACTATTATGAACTCATATTTTCAGAATTTTTTACTAAACTAATATGATAAGCCAACATTTAACTTCTCAAATTTTGAGTATTCATTCATATTTTAGTGTACTAACAAAGTAAAAAAGATAGTTGCAGTTCTATGACTCAGAATGTTAATTTGTCTGATATGCCATGACATAGCCTAATCAATTCTGGCACATTATTAGAAAAAAGAATTAAGCTGTAAAAATAATAAACCTTATACATTGTTTATTGTGCATATTTTCCCAATATTTAATATGGAATTTATTATATAATTATTTGAGACAATGTATTCACACTAATTATCTGAGTATATATATATGCTTATCATAGTGCAATGCTTATCAACCAACAATAAAACATTTTTAAGGACATTCATAACACAAACAACAACAATAAAGAAAACATTAACAATGTCAGACAAACCTACCAAAGCAACAAATTTCACAGTTAAGGATTAATCCTCCAGTAGCTAGACACAGCAGGGTGCCATCTTAAATATTAACCTAATATGTTCATTGCATGTAAGAACAGGGGGCTATGTCTTTAACTGAATTTTCATGCTTTTTTTGTATTTATCTCACATCTTTAAAATTCTCTTGAAGTCATGTTTGTGCATATTATTCCCAGATAAGTGATAAAATGAATAACACTAATAAAAAAGTATATTTAAGCAAAACAAATATTGCTGCATTTTACTCTTTGGTGCCTGATACTGCACTTGAAGCCAATAAGAGTTTTGTGTCAGTCAGGAGTGCATAAGTATGTCCTTTGACTTTTGTAGGCTCTGGATCAGGCCTAAGGGGGAACTTCCTTTTCTAGTTCTTTTTCTAAAATACAACTGAAAATCTCAATTCACCAAGCCCTGTTGACGTCAACATTCTGTGTGCAGAGAGGCTGCAGGATCAGGCCATTTCTCCATATGCACTTCATCAAATAAGGATTCATCTAAAATTTGCAACAACAACAACAACAAAAATACTACCAAAGGTCTTTATCCAAAGCCTATTGAAACTAATGGGAAAATTCCCATTCACTTCAGTGTGCTTTGAATCAGCCTAAACTAAGATGGGAGGCTTTGGTATATAAATAAGTTTTTAAGTTTTTAACATTTTTTATAACTCAGCATTAGCAAACATAAAATAATTTTAAAAAGCCATATTCTTAAAGCCATTAAAATCATGGTTTAGTTTTAGACTATCTGAAGGAATGAATAGGGTACAATAATTCACTAAAGTGAAGCCATCCAAGGACTTACACTGTAAAAGGTAATACAAAGTGGCCATCATATGGACCTGTTACTTGTAATCAAACAGGCAGTTCAATTTTGTACAAATAACCCTTGAGATAGCAGATCCTGAAAGAACTATAGATAAGGAATGGCAGTAATCTAGTCTACCAGATACTGTAAGCGGTGGGGAAAAGCAGTTTTGCAATGCTTTTGAAATGATAAAAAGTAACCTTTGTTGGATTGCAAATATAGGGAAACGTAAAACTGTGGTTCCTACAAGGTATGAAATTAGTTAAGATCTAAAAGTCATCAGAGCCAATGTCATTGCCGCTACGTGATTCCGAGAACTAACAAATAAACCCTCAGTTTTCCCTGAATCTAACTGCAACTACAGACACTGTAACCAAGCTGTAACATTAGTAAAAGCAAGGAATCAGCTAAAAATTACTTATTTAAGCCACTTAAAATACTTTCATGATTTATTATAAATAGATGAATATATTTATAAATAGATGAAAGTTATAGTTTTCTTTGGTTAAAAAAAACCCGAAACTGACTACTGAAACTGAAAGTTTGGGAAGTTAATATTTTATTTCTGATTTAAATTACATAAAATATTTTTATGTAATAGCAGATTTATCATAGAACTGTTCTTAAAAAGCAGAGGTGAGGTACACTGCATTACCTGCATTACAGGTGCAACCACCACCGGGGAGAAGTAATAGATCCCATACTACATGAGAGTTATGTGAGGGGATACCTCAGACATCTTTTTCTTTAAAAAGTAAAGGACCAGATCCTAAGCTGGTGTAAATCAATGTAGTTCCATTCAAATAATTGGAGCTATGCCAATTTTCACAGGCTGAAGACTTGGCCCAAAATGTAAGTTCCGGTCTAAAATTCAGTCCCTTGCTCCTCAGACTGGCAAGGACCAAGGAACAGATTTTTGAAGAGTTTTAGGTCCCTCAAAAAAAGCAGCTAAGCATCTAGTGGGATTGTCAAAAGCACCTAAGCAGGTTAAGTGTCTAACTCCCATTGAAATCAATGGAACTCAGGAGTCTATCCTGCTTACACACTTTTGTAAATCCCAAAGGGACCATTTGGACCTTTCACCTCTTCTTCTCAGGGCTCTCTTTGATCAACTGAACAGTAGCAAAAAATACTTCAGTGGAAGCTGTTTCCATCCCTCCTGCCTGGAGAGACATTTGCCATAGTTAGAACATTTTATGGAATGGGTAAGTAGAAAGGAGATCCTAGCGAGCGCTTGGGAGAATAATTATGCTAAATAATATTTTACACACTGTCGTGTATAGCTTTTTAAAACAAAAAATGGTCTTTGTAATCAATACTTATGGTTAAGAATATTATGAATGATTTCAAAATCTGAATTCAACTTCAATGGCATGAGGGCTTTTAGTTTTGTTGTTTATGTTTTTAGAATTTCTTTAAAGTGCTGGTGGAACTTGTTGCATCAAGATTATCGTTAAATCCACTCTTTTTACTCATGTGAGCAGTAAGAAAGCAAACTGTAATGACATTTGGTTCTTATATAGCTCTTATCATCCCTAGATCTTAAGTAGGCAGGATTTGGCTCCTGCTCAGGTATGAGCAAATATATTTACTTATTGTGTATCACATAAAAACACAAGACATGGAAATACCCATTAGAGTGAGACAAGGAGGAAGGAAGCTGAATGAAGTCACGTTATGAGAAGTTAATGTGGGATTTCATGTATATTTCCGTTTACAAGCATTGTCCTGCTATGGATAAGAATGGTTTTGTGTTAATTGCTATCTTTCATAACTTAACAATTAGAATAAAAAAAAAGATATATTCTAGACTATAGTTCCCCTTGTGGAGTGTCCAGCAGTTTATTCTTTCATGGAGAATTTTCCCATGAATTTTCCCCGCTTTTCAAAGTACAGGCAGGGGAGTCAGCAGACCTGTGGATCTCAGCGGGTATGGTTATCCTTATGGGTGTACACACTCACTATATTACATCTTCCTGGCACCCTATTCCTCTCCCTCTCAATATGGCTCAGGCGCAAAACTGATGATGTGGAATGTGGTATGGAAATGCTTGGGGGATTGTGTTCCATACTTTAAATGGCAATACAATCTCCTATGGGCACCCATCCAACAACCCCAATTCTTCCAGGATTTACCAGGGAGTAAACTAACAAGGAGTAAACCAACAGCTCTCCTAGCCCACAGACACTGCAGTTGCCTGGCTTGCCTGCTAGTGGTAGTTTGTGCAAATTCTCTTTGTTAATAGTCAAATTTAATAATAGAATGAGGCACAAGTAGAGAGCACAGGTAATCATAAGTAGTTCCTGCCTTCCTCTCCAACATGTAGAAAGCATAAAAGCAGAACAAGAACCTGTCAAACTGCCAGACAATGGAATGAGGGAAATCAGAACCTAAGGGAACATCACTCCTCCCAAAACTACTGATGACCATCCAAGCAAACACTGAGTGACTGGAACACCATAGGTGACTGGAGGGAATACCAGGCAGAGCTAGATGACCCAGTGGGCAGCTGCTCTACAAGTTACCGATCCCCTAACAAGCCTACAGAATATCCTGTTAAAATTCCAGCAAGTACTGATGGTGCTAGGTTCAGCATTAATGGCTCTTCTGTAGTTTCCACATTCCCAGCAAATTATTTATCACTATGGGGGAAGGAGCCAATGGTAGCATGGTCATGTTAAGGCCACACTGCTAAAGGGCAATAAGGTACCTGTAAGCTAAATAAAGTGACAAATTTGAATTGTGCAAGATTCAGTGTACAGGGAACTGGCTCCCCATCGATCATTGGGATCTCCATGGTAGCAGTGGTCTGCAAATCCATGTCAAGCCCCAGAAGGAGTGAATTCTAGCATTTTCTAGTTTCCAAATAATAGAAATAGTCCCTCCCCCCCCATTTTATAAAGTTTTGTGCAGGTGAGCACCCAAAATGTCAAGTACGCTATTTAGAAGCCAACATTTCTAAGTACGAAACTCCCATTAAATCTGATTGTTTATTAATATAGAGTTTGTTTTTCATTTAATTTCTGCAATTACAGAACAGTTGCAGTGGGGGAGGTTTAGATTGGATATTAGGAAAAACTTTTTCACTAAGAGGGTGGTGAAACACTGGAATGCGTTACCTAAGGAGGTGGTAGAATCTCCTTCCTTAGAGGTTTTTAAGGTCAGGCTTGACAAAGCCCTGGCTGGGATGATTTAACTGGGAAATGGTCCTGCTTCGAGCAGGGGGTTGGACTAGATGACCTTCAGGGGTCCCTTCCAACCCTGATATTCTATGATTCTATGAAACATGTTTAAAAGAGGAGCAACTAAGGGCCTGATCCTGCAGTCCCTGATTAGGTTACGTTGCCCTGGATTTGAGGAGCATGTATACCCCAGAATGTGATCAGACTAATTGCAACCATATGATGTGCATTCAGCCATCCTGAAGTAATGAAACAGAACACCACATAGCTAAGGGTTAATTTGGAGACAGGCTTTCAGAAACAAGGTTAAAACTAGCTACAGTTTCTGCTAATCAGAATGGGAGGAGGGGACAAACAAGTAAACAACTGAGATTGAAATACCTTGGTGGTTGGAAAACCTTGACTCTAGATGCCCCTGATGTTAAAAGTTTATTGAAAGTTAGAAAAGTGATGATACAGTAGGGTCATTATGACCTATGTTTTTTGTAGAAGTTAGCTATAAAAGATTAGCTAATAGAGTGTACTTTGGAGCAGACCACTAAAGGCACCTTGAGAGATGTTTTCCTGACCTCTTTCTCCCCAGTGGGTAAGCAACTGGCCACTGTGAATCTGCTGTTAATTACTCAAAGCCATTCCAGATGTTAGGTAAATATCTGGGATGTTCTAAACCTATTTGCTTATGTTTGTGTGTGCTTAAATCTAATAAAAATTGCAGTTTTAGACAAGAGCATGCTAACTTGCATTACTCCTTGATCAGATGGAAGTGCTGAGTTCCTGATTATTTATTCCTTACACCACCTGGAGTGAAATAGTTAAGTTGCCCCTGTTGGGGGTTCTGAAAACCCCGGGAAACAATTAGACTCCCACTGAGTTGGAATTTTGGCTGTACAATAAATACTGGAGTGTGTCTTCACTTTTTTATTAGCAAAACTATTATAGCAGAAGATAAAAAACAAAAATAGTGACGGGGGAAAAATCAAAGAGAACGAAGATATAAAGGTAACTTTGAAACCAGAACTCTCCCAAAGTAGCCAAGTTCACAGCCAAGATACCGTAATGGGCAGGGGTGAATGTGAGCAGAATGATAACGCTTCTGAACCCTTACATGTTGATTCTAACATGCACATATGCACTTGTAGTCTTTTTTTACTTGCATTTAGAGATAACAGTGCAAATGAGGACAGTTGGTAGGTCTACTTAAAAGTAACCATTTATGGCACTACGGTGTTTCCACTTTATTACCAAATGTACTTTTCTTAAAATATATCTCAGTGAGGTTTTAAATATTACCATAGCAAAGCTGCAGGGCTTTTTAAGTGTTCAAGGCTATATTTCCTGCTTGTGTAAATGAGCAGAGCTCCACTGACTTCATGTTAACAACAAGATCTGAGGTAGCATGACAAAGGCAGAGAGGCATGCTAAGCACCAACTTGAACCCTTCTTTAACAAGTGTCAGTCTCTCTTCCCTTTAGTTTCTCTCTGTCACCCATCCATTCATTATGATGGGAGTTTTATTTTGAAGATAAACATGTCTGAAAACACACAGCATTTAGAATTACAAAAATCATTCCAGGTATACCTTTTACTGCTTAGCAACCTTTCTAAATAAGCTTTCATTGACATGAATTCAAAGTGCATACATGTGTGCAACCCTACCAGATCATTTTGATGAAATTTTAGAAGCACATTGTAGGGAAGGTTTCATTAGTGACTTTAGCAATAAAGTGTTCAAAATCTGATAATTCTTATTCAGCAATTTAGCGTATAAGTGTGACTAGAGACCAAATTGCTGATCTCCTCCGGCTGATAAAATTAAAATTTGAAAAGCACTAAACAATTTTTTTTAAAAGTGTCTGACTCTAATATAACAAACAAAACCCATTTAAAATTATTTTAGAAATGCAAATTCACTTTTATTTATACAAATTAAATCAAGAATTTCCCTCCATATCACCCAATTTCAGCAAATTCAGACTAAGCCAAACCCATGTTAAATTACCTTAGAAACTGCTTCAAGAGGATTACTTTTAACATATTTTTGCTAATAAACTATTTAATATGTACAGAGTTGGAAACAAGTTCTGAATTCATTTATAAATGTGTAAATATAAGTAACTCTACAGAAGTAAAGGAATTTTTTCTAGATTAGCATCAATTTATGTAAGATAAGAAATTGTCATGCTATACCCAAATATTTTACCTCATGGAATTATGAATAGATGTATACTTTACTGCAATTTAAGAGCTCCTTGTCTTAGAATAAGGAAGTCTAAGAAAATCTCAAATTATAGTGAATATACAGCATTGTGTTATAGGCTTCTTCTACAGTACACAATACAGCTAAAGTAAAGTAGTCTTTAATGATACTGTATGTCAACTGCAGATTTGTTATTTTGGAGGAAGTACTAATTGCAAAGTGAAAGTAAATTAAGGGAAATTTACTGAAGAGAAAATGAGCAACTAGCTACAGTGCTGATACAAAGGTATGTTATTTGTACAAACCACACCTGTGTCAGAAAATCCAAGCTACCTGGCTTTGCCAGTATAAATGATGACTGATTGACCTGTTCTTGAGCATTTTTAATGCATATATATTTGTTTTCCCATGGTAAGAACAAGGAACTGGGACTCAGGATTCATGTGGTGAAATCCTTACTTATACTCTGGCCGCTTTATACAAAATAATGGGACCAGAACAGTGTAAAAGGGCCTTAACAGTCCCGTATCCAGCCACAGAAAGATTCCACTGGTGAAAGAACTGTTGAAAACAGCCATAAGTCTGCCTCCCAAGGACCCCCGTATAAGCCCTGGCTTTCAGGAAGTGCTGGGCACAGCTGCAGCACACGGCATTACAGAGATTCTAGCCAGCATTGATGCCACTAGGGAGGCTGCTGTAATTTAGACAGACTTCCTGGACTGTCTAAATTGCACCCGTCTCAGGAGCAGCCCAGCATCCAGAAGTTTCAAAGGTGGTTTAGAGCCATCTTAGCACTCCTCCCTGTCGGCTGTAAATTAGAGGTGTAGCACAGAATCTCACCCGAGATTCTGTTCCGTGCTCTACCCTGACTTACTATGTGGCAAGGAACAATTCACCTATCTGTGCTACAGTTTACTTATTTATTTACTTAAAATTGAAATAATATTTGCCTAGTTCATAGGGGTGTTGCAAAGTTTAATGCACTGAAGCACTCATTTCCTCACATGAAAGGTGCTAATGTAAGGCTGCTGTAGTAATAATTATTTTCATTAACAAACATCCTTGTTCCAACACTTGTTTTACTGTAAGATGTGGGCCAATGTGAAGAAAATGCCACTCTTCTTGCATGTGTTTCAGTTCTCATATGTCCCTTCTACAATATCCTAAGCCGTGAAGCTGTAAAGCAGTGATAGTCAGATCGAGGCTTTTGAACCACAAGTGGTTCTTTAATGTGTCTCCTGCAGCTCTTTGCAGCACAAAATAAAAACACCATGTGATTTAATTATTAACCAATCTAATTTATTAACTACTCAGGATGTTTTTACTATGTTATTATCCAATTTGAATTGATAAAATAATAATACTTAGTCATTTTGCTGTGAGAATGATTTATATAAATAACAGTCAATGAAACAATGAATGCACACTATTGTGGCTCTTTAGGGTAATGATGATCACTAATTTGGCTACTGAACCACTGAGGTCTGAGTATCACTGCTGTAGAGTATCTTGTTCCAAACCTACGTCTGTTTTCTTGGACCCTCTTCAAGATACCATTGCCAAAAAGCAGCGGAGTGTTTAAGGAACCTTCTGCACAGTAATTCTGTCTTTAGAGTATTTGAATTGATTCTCCTCCTTTTCTTTCAAGCAGAGATCCAGTGTGTGTCCCTGGCCCACCATCCGGAAATTTGGAACGGCACCAACAGCAAAGGATACAAAAATGGACACTTTTAGAGCACCAGAATTAATATCACTACAACCACTGGCATAAGCAGACCGCTGAGGAGGTATCTCGTATTACACTATGAAACAAATATGCTCCTGTTTACCACATGTGTGGAATAACTGATGCCATTAAACAGGAAAAGAAAGTGAATTATTTGCATACATTATTTAATAACTGCTGCTTCAGTCCTATTCCCCTCACCCCTCAGTATTTAGCACAAACTCACGGTATCATGTTGACAATTTTAAAAATGAAAACAAAACATGAAATGCAGTTTTAAAATTATTTAGAGAAATACATACAGCAAATTTCTGAATGCTCATCACTGGCATCCAAACAATCATCATCTCCATCACAGCGCCAGCGGTCCTGGATACAGCGCTTGTTGTTACACTGAAATTCTCCAGGTTTGCACAACTGAGGTAACACTTCTCCAGGATTAACTAGAAAAAAATCCAAGTAGTATGTATATGTTTAAGCTTGATATAAAAAATGCAATATTACCTGCATATAAACAGAAATGAATTCTTCTTCATAATGTATCTCTAAAGAACATTCAATTCTTAATAAGCTTTACATATTCACACTAATTCCATCCTACAATAGGATGTGTATCCACATTTATGGTGGATGTACTTAATATAATTTTAATAAACAAGTGCACACTCAGATTACATTATCACTCAGAAACAACTTTTACAAGTTCAGAAGACAAAACAGACATAGAACTCATCATGAAATCAGTGTTCTCCTAATGACTTTTAAAATATGCTGATGCAACCTCAAAAGCTAGTAAAAAAAATTGTAGATAACAGGACAAATTTGTTCTCAGCGATACAGGTCAGATCATGATAACCTAAGGCCCAATTTTGTGTCCCAAGACATAGCCCAAGCACTTGGATTGTGTAATGAAGATTTCCTTTGGACAAATGGGGTGTAAAGATACTTGAGCATATTAGAAGTTATCAGGTTCTTGTTAATAACATAGCTGATCTGGACATAGTTATATAAGGACAGGAGAAGCTGATACATAGAAGGCTATTATAGAGGAGGGTGTATCTTCTCTCCTCCCATCTATAGCTGGAAAGGCCTCAAGTGATTAAAACCCAGTAGTTTGAGTTCATAAATTGTAGGTTTGAGTTTTGTTTCTGGAAATAAAGCAAGCCCTGAGGAAAGTGATGTGAAGTAACCTGCAACTCAGATTTTTCTTTTTCGTTCTCCATCTAATGAGTTAAACACTGGCTTACAGGAGAAAAAAATCCTTTGCAACATTGTTCTTCTCTTCTCCGACCCCTCAGAAGTGTCTGTATACGGGCTCCATGGGGTTCAACCTATGCAGCTGATTAGGGAGAATTCAACAGACAGGGGCAAAAGAACTGCAGAGGTGAGAAAACGATTCACACTTTAACATTACCAATCATCATTAATTTACCCACATTATTCCTCTGCATTTTGGAACCCCAACAAAGTGGAAGTCCTATGGACAGTGTTTTGTTTGAGACTTCCCTGCAGCATGACTCCAAGAGGAGTTGCCCCTGGCAGAAGTTAATTTGTAGGCAGTAGGTCTCCATTTCACAGTATAATAGAAACTCTACAAGGGGAGCCCTATGTAACCTCTGAATAAGGGAAAATCTGGATTTCACTTCCTTATACAATTATTATGATTTTCTGTACTCCATAGGCCAACTCTCACTCTCATATTGCTCACACAAAATTCACATTGACTTCATTGTGAGTGTGAGTTTTGAATGAGCAATATGAGTCAGACTAGCTCTTTGTATGCACTGGTACACATCTGCCTATGTTTTCAAACTTTGCATAATAGTTATGTCCTGAGAATATACAACTACCCTGGATAGTGTTAATAAAAATTAAGCTGTTAATTGAAAATATGAGTAATGCATGAATTAATGAGACATTCTCATTTTGTACAGCTATAGTTAAAGAAGTTCGGGAATGTTCCATATGATGGACAAAATATTTAATATAAGTAAAATTAATCACAGATGTTCTTAGAAAAAAATGGCATATTCTATAATCGAATATGTTCCAAAATACTAAAGCTAGAAATTTGCAACAGTACCAATATTACACTGGTGAATTAATATTTTTGGAGTAGCAGGTTTAATTTTGTTACAAGCCCATGTTTTTTTCAGCAGTATTTGAAAAAAGACATCCAGAGGATGATTAAGCTATTCAGAGATTGGTGCATCTTCTATCCCTGGTTTTGTCTTACATATAAAGTGTCAGCTTCAATTTTTCACAGTTTCAACTTGAGGATTTGCTATGCTTGATTTCTCTTCAAGATATTTACTTCAGTGAATGCCATGAAGCCAGTTAATATGCTTTTATTATGACTTTTATTTTGATGTCCGTGAAACGTAACAAAAAGTCTTTGGAAGCATCAGAGTACTCTATTATATTAGACACTATGGAATATTTTCAGATGCATTTAACTTCAAATATTGCACATTTAATAGTTTTGTTTCACTCTTCAAGCTTTAACTATCTGTGCTCAATTAGCAAGTTTATTCAATTAATAGTTATTTGCCCAATGTAAAATTGCTGAACAGCAATAAAGCCTCCAGGAGATTTTTTTTTACTTTTCAGATTTGATTTTTCTCTCCCATAACAGTAATATATACCCAGATAGTCTTCAAGAAAATCTTACTCATGCACATTGTACTGTTTTCCTCTAGGAGCTGATGATCAGCACAGGCACAAACTCTGCCTCCGGGAATGGCTAAACAAAGAGTGCTGCAGCCTCCATTATTAACACGACATGCATTGTCACCTGCAATTAAAAAAGAAAAAGTAATCGTAAGACATAATAGCTCAAAAGCCATGTAAAAGAGCATGTAGACAATTAACTGAGATATGCTTTTATTTACAAGGAGACATGTTATTGTGGTAGTTCTTCTTCTGTTATTGTATAACCTGCAGGTATAGACAACAAAAATTATATCAGTTCACAAATGTCCTCTCTCACTCTTTAATAAATATTAGCATTTTTACAGGACACAGACACGTGAGTTCAAAAATTAAAGTGAACTTCATTATTTTTAAATAGACAACAACATAAAATGAAAAAATCTCAACTATATTGGCAGCTAAGACTCAAGCGCAAAAATGCGACTACAATGACAGACTAGGTTATTATATCCCAGGCCTGAGAGGCTGGAAGTATTACGTGGAGAATAATGAGGAAAATGCATAGTACAAAATCATTTTATCACCAATAAATATTTAACTCAAATGCACAAATTTTCACAGTGTAGTCTGGCACTCAGACTGACTGACCCAGAGTAGACTAGGATCCTTTTCATCATTCTCAAATCTAAATTTACTTTGGCACACTTACAAAAGCTTAGAAATGAAAGAAAGTGAAAGCTAGACAGGCCAATGAGCCTATATAAACTCTTTAACATCACTTAACTTCTGAACTCAGAGGTAATCAAGCTTGGATCATATTGTTCCCTCCAACCAGGACTGCCACCATTAAAAAAGCAGTCTCCAGCGATGGCTATGGTTTTCCTGCTATAACTGCATGATCCTGGTTCCAAATATGTAATACTTTATAGTACTGTTTGGCTTTTTATCTAAGCGATCAGTCACCATTTTCATGTGCCAAAATAAATTACACATTTAGTTATATATCAAGAGCTCTGTTTGAAAACTGAAAAACTAAAGAAATAGAAAAATCAATAAATTCATAATGGAGAATAAATAAGAAAAGGAAATGCTGAAATATATCAGGATATACTTTTCAGTGTTGTGAATGGGAGTTAAGCACTCACGTATTCTAATGTGAGTTATGCTCATAATTTGCTACTGCCTATGAATTTTAAATTCTGAAGAACAAATTACTATTATGCCAGAATTTTATGCCTTTGTCATATGAAAAAGTAGAAACTGACAAGTTACTTTCTGTCCTGTCATGAAGTGACATTAAATAGAAAATCATTATAATAATTTCATAAGCTTAGTTAGAATTAGACTGAAACACTTCTAGGTCTTGGTCCTATATTCCTCATGCACTCAGAATAGACACTCAGATGGATGTGAGTGTTTGAGGAATGAAAAAAAAAATCAGATCCCACTTTATTTATTTATTTTAAGGTATGGAGAGCATTAAGACAAGGGGAAATTTTGCCTCAGGGTTTCTATAATCTGCCAATGCTTGCTACATTCCCTCTAACCACCATCTCAACTCTCCAACATACTCTACTACAAGGGTCTGATTCAAAGCCATTGAAGCCAGTCTTAAGTACTTTAGTAGGCTTTGAGTCACATCCTAATTACTTAGTCATACACTGCCATTGTCATTTGACTGCTGTTTCTCAAGCAATGCTAGGTTTCAGATGTTGCTGGTAATGCACATGGGTAGGGAGACCATAACCAATGATCCAGGTTTGTACAAATCTTGTAATGGATTTCCAAATCTTCCACTCCTTTAGTCCACTATTAGCAAAATTCCACTAAATAAGGATACATTCGGTGACTGCTAGGAGACTAAATAGTGTTTAACCAGGTGTGAAGTGTTTAACAGTGGTTTTCCAAAAAAATATTTTATCAGACACAGACAATGAAAAAATAATAAAATGCAGAATGTATTTTATTTGTTTATTCTTATTTAGAATAGCATTTTTTTTCAATTCAAGTCATTTTAGATTTGGAAAATCATCTCCTCTTTTAATGACAGCTGGTTAATTGGGAGCAGCCTGTCCACCAAAATATACCATCACTGGATGGTGTTCCACTTATGTGCAGTGAGGATGGCTGAAGCATACAGGGAAACAAAACAATGTCCACTCCACTCCTTTTCCACAGTTTAATTTTCTCAAGAATGATTATTAATTATTTATCCAAAGTGCAACAGCTTCAATAGGAGCGACTGAGGGAGCCCCACATTAGAATACCCCATAACCCATTCCAGGGGCATACACAAGGAGGAGCAAGGAGGGGCAAACCCCTCCCCCCCACAAACACCATGTGACCCTGCAGCCCGGTGAGGGAAGCAGCAGCAGGTGGCTGACTGCCAGATGAGCTCCTCTTCCCCTCACCCCTACAGTTGTAGACTCCTGCTTTTCCTCCCCTGCCACTGGAATCCCATGCATTGCCTCTGCCTCATCTCAGTGGGCAGTCTGCAAAGTCGGCTTCCCAGGCCAAAGGTACCGAGTTTCTAATCTGTGGCAGGGTTCTCCGACCCTGCTCTGCCCAGGCCCTGCCCCCACTTCACCCCACCCCTTCCCCCAGTGCCCCACCCAGCCCTGTTTCTTCCCACCCCCCCTCCACCTAGCGCGCTGCACACTTGCGCCTTCCCCCGCACTTCCTGACACTGCAAAACAGCTGATCCGCGGCAGGCGGTAGGTGCTGGGAGGGAGGGGGAAGCACTTATCAGTGGGGCCCACCGGTGGGCAGGAGGTGCTGTGAGGAGGGAGATGTGTTGATAGGGAGCCTGCTGGTGGGTGTTAAGCACCCACCATTTTTCCAGTGTGTGCTCCAGCCCCGGAGCACCCATGGAGTCGGTACCTATGACCCATGCTTCCGGGTCCCTGCTCCCAGTCAGGTTGCCGCCTGCTCCCCAGGCTTCCTGCTCAGAGCTGGGCTATTGCCTGGGCTTCCTGTATACCACTCAGAGCCGAGCTGCCCCCAGGGTCCCTGCTCCCAGACGGGCTGCTCCCTGGGCTCCCCGCTCTCCATCAGAAGCTCCACACTGGGTTCCCAGGTGTCCGCTGTGCTTTCTGTTGGAGCAAAGAGCCGACAGTTGGGGCAGCTGCACTGCTCCTGGTGGGGGGAAGGGATCCAAGGTGGAGGGGCAGACAGGATCCCAGTGGGGAGCTGCAAGCCAGGGGGCAGGTGGGCTTCAGGCAGGGAGCTAAGAGCCTGGTCTTTCAGCCCCCTCACACTGCCCCTCTTAAGTCAGTGGAAGCTCTCCTGGTGAGGATGTGTACCACATACAGAAGAAGCGTAGTTTGAATGAGAACTACTGCAGTAATTACTGCAGTGGCTGTAAGTCAGCCTAACATATGTTAGGTCCACTTAAGTTTTTAGTGTAGACATGCCCTGACTCTGCAAGAGGGAAGGGGCACAGGACACACTTCTTTTGTCAGCATCTCCCACTGGCTAATTTAGGAGGCTCCCACCTAGCAAAATAGCTTTTGCAAATCTCATTCTAAGGTGCTTATTTCTCCCCATGCATTGTATAGGGATCCTAAGCGCCTATCTCAGGCTCCGTGAATCCCATTGTAATTCCGGTGATTTTCCAGGACACTGTAATACCAAAGTCCCTTTGTGGATTTGGATCTAGGAGACATAGGAGCATAAGTACCATTTTCAAAAGTGACTTGGTGCCAGATTTTTAAGGTATTAAGACACCTAAAGATGTATGGAATTGTCAAAAGTACCTAGTGGGTGGATTTTCAAAAGCACCTAGCCAACTAACTCCCAACTTTTAGGTGCCTAAATACCTTTAAAATCTGCCTGTTAGGCTTCAAAATTTTACCTCTAGGTTTTTTCCCTGCCTGGATAACCCTAACCCATCTTTCCTAGGAACTGATAGGCACTATACCCCATTAAGAGAATTTATTTTATGTCTTAACAAGCTTATTTAAGATAGTCGATATCTCATATATATTAGAATGTAGTGTAGCAGATGCTCTGATATTTGTGCGTATGTCGGGGTAGAGGGCCAGGGATAAGCACAAATAATGAAAACAAGTAGCAGAAACACACTCTGAAATCTGCATTCAGGAAACCATGCTACATTTTGTCCAAGTTATTGCTCATGAGAGGTTGCAAATGCTAATTGCAAAGGTGCAGAACTATAGGGAGCTGTTTATGTTCAGAGATGAAGTCAGCATGTAGGAAGAAGATTCTATTGGGCTAGATTCACAAAGGGGACTTAAGTGTTACACCGCCTAACTCCTAGGTGCCCTGGGACATCTTGGGACAAAGAGAGAGATTGACTCTATAGCCCTGTGGCTAGGGCATTCACATTGGATGTGGGAGAGTAAGGTTAGCGTTTCTGCTTCAATTAATATTTCGTTATTTATACAAAGTGCAACAGCTTCAACAGAAGAACCCGCAACCCAGAATACCCTGGTGGTTAGGATACACAGCTAATTTGTAGGAGATCTGGGCTCAAGTCTCTGCTCTAAGGCATGCAAAACAGGGATTCAAACCTGGCTCCCCTATGTTCCAGGGGCATGCTCTACCCACTGGGCTTCTGCACATTTTTGGACACACAAATGCCAGGCAGCCCAAAATTCCTGATTATTTACCTCAGCTGTCTTTTGTTCAAGTTAGGTGTGCCCTGAGCATGCCTTCTGGATCTGGCCCCAGAGACAAGATAGATGAGGAACACGTACCTTGAAGAGCCCAGCAGGGCTTAAGCATGTGTGAGAGCTCCAAGCACCTCATTAGCAACATGGCAGCATCAGGACATAGGCAACTTTGCACATGCCCACTGATGGAAATTTAGGGACCTCTGGAGATTTAAATGCCTACAGGGTTAGCTGAGTGGGGGGGGCGGAGTTATGAATGTCACTTTGTTTTGTCTACCTAAAGATTATTGGACTTCAGCACCCACAGCAAGATTCACTAAAGGATTTAGGTGTCTGACACTTTAGGTGACTAAATTCCAGAATCAGGCCCCAGTAGGATTCAGAAAACATGAAATTCAGAAAACCATCACTCAGCTGCATCCTATGAGCACCTAAACTCGCTCAGTGCCTGAATTTTTGCAATAAAAGCTAAGATCCCTGGAGGCATCTATAGGTACGCAAAACAAGT